AAAAAAGTAAATCTATTTGAATATGCCTATTTTCCAAAGGAGTTGAACGAAGAATAGATCGAACGTCAGTGTTATGGTAGAGACCTACTTGCATTCCTAATTTAAAAGCGGCAGTTTTTAAAAATTTATTCTGAATTCTTTCTAGTGACAGTTTTTGAATAGAATAAGAAGGACTCCATACAATAGAGGCGTATTCCAAATTTGATCTCACTAAGGAACAGAAAAGAAATTTCAAAGTATTAGCCGAAAAATCCTTGCTTAACCTGGATACATAACCTAGAAGTTTGTAAGATTTCAGTGTGATTTTAGTAATATGCGAAGAAAATGACAGTTTAGTATCGAATGTAACACCAAGATCTTTGACTTCACTTACACTTTTGATTTGTTTTTCAATAATAACTGTGGCGTCACTTTTGTTGGCTTTAACTGCTGTGAGGTTGTTAGAGATCTACTTCCTTTTTATTGATTTGATAACTTTCGTGATTGCTGGTTTCTTCGGAGTCTTTTCTGGTTTTATGATTATTTGTTTCAGCGTGTTGATTGCTTCTGATCTGATTTCATCTACTTTTGATGCTTCTACTTGGTTTAAAGCCATCTCTGTGTCAACAATTAGGTTTCCAATGGTTTGTGGCGTGATTTTCTGTTATGGACTGAATTTTGGACCTAGTTCAAGTGTTTGTATTTCTATATCGTTGAAGTGTACGTTTGTTAAGTTGATAACTCTCGGATAGAATGTGTGGTGTTTTCTTATCATTGTTGTGTTCTTACCTACACAAACAAGCTCCACCACACCCGCAAGTTCAAACCATCCACCATCACACAAAATGGCTGCCTATAACGCATTCATATATAGAATGTTAAGGATACCACTTAGCAATGAAGCCCGAAACAAAGAACAGAAAATCATATACCAAACAACAAACGAGAACGGATACACCCAAAAGACAATAGATACATTAGAAAACAGAATCAAACAAAAAAAATACAGAAGAAGGATCAAGCCACTCCAACAGACAAAACAACACAACAGGTCCATCGAATTTTCGAAAATAATTTACAGGGTGGTCGAAATTTCCACCTAAAACATCATCGAGAAAACTGATGAAACACGATTTTTTCAAATGGAAACCATACACTATTCTATTATTTTTGGGTACTACGAAAAAAAAATATATCAAATTCATGAAGAATGTCCTATACCTAAAATCCGATTTTGAGAAATATTTGAAATGTAAATCGTTCGAAGCAATACCAAACCAAGAAAGCTTTGAAAACAAATGAAGTTACAACAAATATGTCAAAATTTGATGTGATATAATTGACGTGTATTTCGTAGTTTTCTATTTGTGTGCAAAATGTCTCGTTTGGGATATTCTAATGAAGATTTCCTGAATTTAATAATCATTTATGGTGAATGCAATAAGATAATGGACAGAACTTGACGTGTTTTTGCAGAAAGATTTCCAAATCTACACAAACCCAATAAAAATATTCTGAGAAGACTTCTAAGAAACTGCCGTGATTTCGGATTTTTTTCGTCTGTCATCAACAAAAAAAAACACTCGTAAACAATGAGGACATCAAAATGGTAGTTTTGGCCTATTTCACAGCCTATCCAGAAAATTCATTGAAAGACTCAGAAAAGTCACTTAGAATTTCATGTTCGTCAATTAACCGGATTTTAATCAAACATAAATGGCGTCCCTTTAAATATCACCAGGTTCAAAATCTGAAACCTCACGACTTATCTGCACGAGTGGAATTCTGCGAATGGTTTCTTATCAAGATACAGGAGGACCCTGAGTTCATGAAGAACATGATATGGACAGATGAAGCCAAATTTGCCAAGAATGGTATGTACAACCGCCATAATAGTCATTTTGGGGCAGCAGAAAATCCAAAGCTCGTTCGCCAGCGCAACTTCCAGGATTCATGGAGTTTTAATGTTTTTTGCGATATAAAGCGCAAACTTCGTACATGAAAACTGTGTGAAATTTTCTATAATTTGTTTTACTGAAAAGTCAACCAAACTTAATGTTGATATTTTTATTTCTTGTGTTCATTTCCAAAGAACCCAGTATGGCATCATGATCGGAAAGATTGCATGAAGTAACAGTACAAACTATGTCGAGTTCATTGAAAGTGGAAGGTGGAAGAATAGCGGGATGATCGAGTAGGTGATTCAACATGCATTAACAAGTTGAACAAATTTAATTGAGAAACTAATTTTTGAGTGCCTAATGAATTTTTATCTTCAAAATTTATGTTCAGATCTCCAGCTAATATTACATTTGATTTTGGTGGTATTTTCGAAAGAAGGTAACCCAACTTATCTAAGAAAATATCAACATTTGAAGGATGGTGTACGGTATATACATATTGCAAAGATATTTCTTTTCTGGTCATGTATAACAAACATTTCAAAAGTTTTTTCCTCCATTATGTCGTTATATTCAACAACAGTTTTGAAAGACATTGAATTAAGAACTGAATTATGAAGGAGAATGGCTGTACCACCATGAGAAAAACTAGTTCTGCAAAAAATAGAAGCTACTGTGTAATCAGAAATTACTAATGGCTCAAAGTTTTGGATCTTCCGATACCATCCTTGTCATTTTGTTTGCTTAGTTTCCCTTCATTTTCTTTGATGGTGACTTCATGAGTCGAGTATGACTTGGTGGATTGATGGATTTCTTGAAAATTCAGTTGTTTCAAGTGAAGGTTTTTTCAGATGTCAGCAACGTCAATTGAAGTAATCATAGCTTCATTTAAGCGTGAAATTTCCACAAACTCTTGTTCATATCTTTCATTGCAAGGTGTTTGTTTTCAATATTGCTGATTCGAGTTTCTTCAGTAGTTCATTGTTCCTCAGTGTAATTCTAGTAATGACATTCTCAAGCTGAGTTTTCGACACCCTGCACCATAGGTTTTGAAACTTCCAAGTTTTCTATCATGATTGTGTTTCGCTTTGGTATCCCTCTTTGTCTGGCTTGTCACCCTCGACCCTTCCGGCAAGGGATGCCCTACCAATAGCAATAGCGAGACATGGCTTTCAGGATCATTAATGCAACACGACAAGGTAGAGATAGCGTATGGGGATGCCTTTTACTTCAGTTATGAATAACCAATTTTTTTTTGGGTTGATCCATGCATATAGGAATTACTATTACTTTCACCACTGCCGATATTAATTTTATTTTTATTTTCACGACTCCTAAGGTACCACCTTATGAAAACCTTCATTGCTCCCAATATTATCATTTAAATGAATGATGTCTGTCATAAATCTCCTTTGTTTATTTTCTAGAGCAGTTGAATGGTTTCAGTTGGTTCATTACTAATTCTATCATTTTCTATCCAGTACTTCTTGAGGAAGAAAGGTAACATCATCTTCCTTTGAAAGATTTACACATTTTTTTGTAAAAAAAAATAGAGAATATCTCGTTATTTTTGTCATTTTATGTTTTATCATTTTCTATCCAGTTCTTCTTGAGGAAGGAAGGTAACATCATCTTCAGAAGCTTCGAATTTATTTGGAGATAATTTACTTTCTTCTTCGACATACAAATTTAACCAAAAAATGTTGTAATTGTATTGAAATTTAGCTGGTTTAGGGATTCAGATTGAAAAATTAATAGAGTTTGAAAAATACATGATTCCGTTTATTGTGAAAACAAAACCGAATTCTATACAAAAATCACTATATTTTACTAGCCTGCAGTTTGAATTTTATAAGATTTATATTCCATATGCACAAGAAACACAAATATATTGTCCTGGAGTAAATGTATTTTTCAAAATGAGAAGTTCCATGAAACAGGCTACAGTCCGTTCTGTTAGACTAACCCTATCCGCAATATCACGGTAAACAAGAAGTAAGTAACATTTAATCGTTTTGAAAGACAGAAAAAACGACCAATAGTTCAACAAAAAATATTATAAACGCGTTTAGAAAAGCACCTTCGTACTTACCTTTTCTGATTTCTCAGTAAATAAGCCTGAGATGCTAACTCAGTTCTCCTCGATCGCCCGTTCTTACTTTCACTTGAAACTTTCGCGACTAAAAGATGCACTTTCAGATATGACGGAAATGAAATTATTTACTGCTGAATATTGGCAACAGCTTGGTGCATTACTACGACTTATATATATGTCGTTTTTTGAGCGTGGGATTCACGTCGTAGTATCTAAATAGTATGGGTTTTAAATGATTCCTCTCTTATGTCCCTATTTATCTAAAAATATACAAAATGAAAGCAACAAACATACATTCCCACAGTGTCAAAAACAGGTGGGCTCCACTTCGCCCCATAAATATATTGGGCTCTTTTGTTAAATAACCACCTTGTTCACCTGACAAACTTCAAGCATACTGTATGAGAACACAGAATAATTTCATTTGGAGCACTGCAAGGTTCAATACTATGGCTTATTTTGCTGAAACACTGGCTTGACTCTTACATGCTCATACTCAATGTCAAGAAATCAATGTATATATGTATGGACAGGTCTATGATTGAAGATCAAAACAAGGAGATTTATTTAACAGTGCTAGATTATGTACTCCAATAAAATCATGTTCCTCAGACTTTGTTTTGTGGAGTGAGCATGTCGAATATTAGAGAAAAATAACGCCTATGTTCTTGGGATATAAAAATGTTGAAAATGAAATGAAATAAAGCAAATCTTATGTATAATTTAATTATTATTCAACTAACTACTCCCACCCTTTTATATTTAAAAAAAATTAAAATTGATTACAAACTCAAGCAATTCTGAGAATGAACAACAATGGATGAATTTCTAATTCATTATCATTGAATGGTAATTTACATGTTACCCTTCATCTAACTTCACAAATGTAGCACATAACATACAATTCCATGTATTATTTGTGATTCAGTTAGGTCATTTTCAAGCCTAAATACAGTAAAAGTTGTAATATTCATATTTCTCTGTTTTTTTTCTGTTGAGATCAGCATGCATACTATATTTTACAGATGTCTTTGCTGCTTCGTCGTCCTCCAGGCCGTGAAGCTTATCCTGGAGATGTTTTTTATCTTCACTCTCGTCTATTGGAGAGAGCTGCAAAAATGTCAGAAGCCCATGGTGGTGGTTCTCTAACAGCTTTACCAGTCATCGAAACCCAGGCCGGGGATGTCTCTGCGTACATTCCAACAAATGTCATTTCTATCACCGACGGACAAATCTTCTTGGAAACAGAGTTATTTTATAAAGGTATCCGCCCAGCTATCAACGTAGGTCTCTCTGTGTCAAGAGTAGGATCAGCTGCTCAAACCAAAGCTATGAAACAGGTGATTATTGTCACTCCATTTTAATCTAATATAAACGTAATAAGTAGAATTTGGAACTTCTGGAATAGAAGTAATCTACTGAAAACACCAGAAAGAAAATAAAGATAATATACAACAACTCCATGAGAGTTTTTGTGGTTAATGAATGAAAATCATTAATTCTGATATTCAACAAAATTGAATGCTTTTCTCAGAATCATTTATGAAATTGACGTTTTTTATTGCCTGACCAAAAGCTGCTATATAAAATTTATACTTCTTTGCTATCTAATTTATTTTTTCAACATCCTTAGAGATAAGTAAATTCAGAATACTTCAAACAAAATTTGCAAAATGTTCCTATCAGGCTCACTTTCTTGGCTTCGTGGGATTTGCATGTTTTTAAGAAATATTTCCGTGTTGGGAATCACACGTTAAAAGGTAAGACCTCGTTAGTCCTTAGGTCGCACAAGTTTCGACTTCTGAGGGTTGTCGTTCGTAGGGGTGCGACAGATGGTTAACGGAAAAACAGATTATAAACAGATTTCATATGTGCCACCATTTCTGTTTTTCTGTTTCACCACCTCAATACGTTTTCTATGTCTCTGTTTTCTGAAAGGAGTACAGATTTTTTCCTAAATCTTTGAGCATTAAAAAATATCAATATTTCTAGCAGTGCTGTATGTCGCACACATTTTGTAAACTACATCCATCCAAATCTTGTTCTTGTTGTTTCATCGTCTCATATGTCTTTAAAAAATGGAACAAAATACAGTAGAATTCAAAAACTTATTTTTTATATTCA